TGGGAAACGAGTGATTTTTTCTAAGTTATTTATTGTATTTCCTGTGAAACCCAGCTTCAAGACTCCTAGAGAAATCGATGCTTCTTTTCCTAAAAGAGAGATTGTACCGTGTTCTACCACAAGAAAAGATTGAATTGATTCTCTATTGTTTCCAACACATATGGGTGCTGTAAATTTACATTTGATTTTCAATGGTTCATCTGAAGCGTAAGCCTTTATATTACTCATCACATCTTTCTCGACACTAACCAACGCAGTATTGTTTTTACACAGTGTTTCCCAATCATGTCCGCTAATTACATTACACGAGGCTCCCGAGTCAATTAGCATGTTTATAGGAATATCACCAATTTTCACAGTTATTATCCCTTCTTTGCTACCTTCAATAGAGATTTCTGAATTTCCCAATCTAAAGCATTCAAAATTATTTCTTCCACTAGTTGAAGGTGATTCGTCATAGTCAGCTGTTTCTTCAATAAGATGAACTCTTTTTCCTTTTCCAGTTTTATGATTAGAACGGAAATTTGACGTGTTAGAATAACTTGGGCGATTACCTCTTGCCGTTCTACATCTTCTTGCAAAATGTCCTATGCGCCCACATTGATGGCATTTAATATTTAACGCAGGACAATTCTTCATTTCTGAAGGATGATGGTTATTGCCACATCGAATACATTCCAGTTCTTTTAGGTTTTCTCCATATTTCCGTTTCCTTAGATTTTCAAGTCGGTTTATCTGTGAGGTGACTCCGTCTGGTTGAGAAATCATTTTATTTTGCATAATTTTACTTTGATTTTTAGTTTGTTCATATATTTGGCACTGTGCTATAACTTCTTCTAATGGCAATTCCTTTTCTAGTAGCTTCCTCTTTAACTCAACCGGTGCCCATGTGTCAATTAATTTATCTTTAATGTTTATTTCACGAGCTTCTTGTTCAGTTTTCCCAAAGTAACACTTATTTGCCTGCGATCGGATTCTTACAAGGAATTTGTTCAAGTTTTCGTCTTCTTCGGGCTTCATATTTCGGAAACCGTGTCTTTCAAAACACGAATTTTGTTGCGGTGAAAAGTGATTTTCAAGAGCATCTGTTAGAATTTTAAATACGTCGTTGTTTATCTCAGGATCATATTCTACGATAGCTCCTGGCAGCTCAAATGCAATTTCCTGTAACTGTGGACCTCCGAAATGTAAAAGTTTATTTTTCTTTTTGACTACATCGGTAATTTCTTCTGCATCTAGATATAATTTCACAGAGCGTACCCATTTTCTCCATTCAGTAGCCAGTAGCGCCTTATCTATGGTATCACAAGAAAAATGTTTAATTGAAGAGTCCATTTCTCTTCAACCGTTTTTTCAAGTTTCTGTAAAACCATAATTTGTTTTATTTCTATTTATTTATTTACCTATTTATTTATTTACCCTTCTTTTTTTTCGGTAGAATTTAATCCACCCGCATTAATGGTAGAATCAAATCCACCCTCGTTCCTGGAATCAGCAAATTTTATGCGTTCCAACAGTAGAATTTAATCCACTCTCCTAAAACAAAGAGCTGTTTTAGTACTTTCTAGTAGAATTTAATCCACTCTGCAATTTGGTAGAATTTAATCCACCCCGATAATCTTTTAGTAGAATTTAATCCACTCTGTAATTTGGTAGAATTTAATCCACCCCGATAATCTTTTAGTAGAATTTAATCCACTCTGTAATTTGGTAGAATTTAATCCACCCCGATGATCTTTTAGTAGAATTTAATCCACTCTGTAATTTGGTAGAATTTAATCCACCCCGATGATCTTTTAGTAGAATTTAATCCACCCTCTTTTCTTTTTTTTTTTTATATATATAGTTGTCTATTTTATTTTAATGTATACATATTTACCTTCGTCGCCAATTGTGGTACCCTGCTAAGTATCACTAAAACACACCCTATAGTAATAATGTCTTTATTTTAACGCACTAATTTTTAATACTAAACAATACAATCTATATCGACATACATCAATAATAATCTCCAAAAACTAACTAACTTTTTCGTATTCTTACAATTCGTAATATGTAATGAATCACAACAATGATTAAACCGATCCATCAGTGGCGGGTCTCCACACCTTTAAATTACTGAATTAGTCGTCAAGAGGTTTATTAAGCTTTTTAATGCTTACCTGCTCGCGTTCATTGAAGGAAAACCGTTGTAATATCGAATAATTATTTCTATACAAAAATGGTACAAATGCCACAATTAGATGTAAAAAAAAGTTATACGGAGTACTGAACATGAACTTAAAATATTTTAGAATTCTTGACATTTGCCACACCTATATCAGAAACATAAACATTCATTTCGACTCTGAAAAAAATAAACAATATTCAATTTGACTAGTTTCTATACGAACATAAACCCGTGCCATTATTCGCATATCATGTAAATCTGTATAAGCAATATAAGAAACATTTCGAGACGAACGCATATCAATAAGCGAGTTCCTGCGACTCCAACTTTCCCACAGGAAACCCGGCGAACAATGGCGGATTTTTTCCGGTTGAAAACGAAGAAACGTGACAGGTGTAGCGGCGCACATCTACACAGGAAAAAACTTACATGTCTGTATTTTTCCTCGGATCCCTTCGCGAACGCGGAGCAGATGAAAAAATCCAGCTAAAAACGTGACTGGGTAAGGTCAAGGTAGAGAGTCGTGCGTTTGGCCGGTCTACTATATTCGCGTTGCCAATCGTATGGAGCAAAATTGCATTTAGCGAATGCATGTAGGCAGATAGGTGCACCACAATCGGAGACGTACCTATTAACTCACGGCTACTTCAGTGACGTATTATATGTTTAAAAAAATCGCTTCAAGCTTAGCCAATACACGTGATATTTTTTAATAATACATATTAAAAAAGCATCTGCTCTATACTCATCCAATATTTAAAATGCATAGGTACTTAAGGAGTATGAAACAGGGTCTACACAGGACGGAGGCTTTTTTGGAGGCAATTTAAAACGCTGAATTAATATGATGACCATCGCAAGACTATATACAAACAGAATAGTAAATCGTTTAAGTTATTTATAGAAAATACGTTTTGAAAAACAATCGACAAATCCGCCACTGCCCCTGTTAAACATCAAGTTTGCCTTGAAAGGTTCTTTGCTTTGGAAAACAACTGATGAACGGTTAGCGAGGAATTTTTACGTAACGCGACCTGCCTTCTAATCGCTTTGCAATTTATTTAAGATCGTGACAGATAAAATTGCAACGGATTTCGCTCCTACGAAACGGCGACATTTCAATGGAAAATCGCTCGTTGTCGATGCAAAACAGTTTTGTCAGCGAGGTGTTAAAATATTGGAATCTGCGAAAAATTATAGGTTCTCCGGCAGCGGATTCGTTATTTACGATAGATCGTGACGGATCGTTATTCAGGATCGATAGTCGATCAGTTGGGTGGATAAACAACAAAAACAAAAATGCACAATTTATAACCTGTACTTAACCGTTTGTATATTAAAAATTAACCGTCTAGGCAAGAGAGACAAAGTTTATTCATTAGAAAATATAAATTTTCCGCACAGTAATTTTGTTTTTAAACATATCAAAAGAGAAGAGTTTCGAAAAAAGAATGAATTAATTCAGTTAGGCACTTACCTACTTTATTTGATATAAAGTGATACGAAGTGAAATTATTCAAGCCGATCAAATGTTTGGAACACTTTCACTTCATTTACTCCCTTTGTTCGTAGAACAAAAAGAGCAAAGATAGAAAAATAAACTGTTAAAAACAAATCTCTACGTAGTGGCAGGTTACACAAATTTTACCGTTAAATGTAAATTCTGCAGTTATATCTTTTACTTAAAAGGCAAATCCTCAATATGGCATTCTCCAAGGAATCACTATAAATTCGTTGGCATGTTACGAAATGAATTATATATTGTATTTTTTAACTGTACTATCTATTTATACATTCTATTATTAGTGCAGTTGCAGTAAATGCAATATTAGATATTCATACAATTCAGGATGATTGAACGTTTTCCAGATTTCAATACATCAAAATTATAACCATATTTACATATTATTTGAGGAGAAAAAGTAATATGTACAGACATTATTTTATTAGATACCATATTGTCTCAACTCTTGAGACAAACTACAAAAAAATTGGATAATAAAATTGGGTATTAAAATGAAAATTTTGTATGTTTTACCAAAAGGAACAATTTGTTATTCTAAATTGCAGCTATGCACCATATTTTTTGTTGGAGCTAAACGCTGGCCAATTTAGACCTAACACTAACAACCTATGATTATCAATAAGATGAAAGTTTAATTTGCACAATAAATTCAATCTCGTTCCGTTTGATTTACTTTCATGAATAACGTACTGCCGATTACGAACCAACGAAGAAAGTGATGCATAACGGCATTTGCATGCAAATACATTTAAATTATAATTTTAATAAACTACTTACATTACATCAAAATTGCTGTGCAGCCTTTCGATATTAACGAGTTCAATAAAAATTTAAGTGAGAAACATTAATTTTCAAATATTTACCAAGTAAAATTAATCATAATGTTATAGCAATACATAACTTGCACATATCTTCTTTTACATCATAGGAAGAAGTTAATAAAAGATGCAATATACAACATGAATGAATTTGGCGCGTTCTGTATAACAATAGTTTCTTATGCAAAATAATCATAATGGAATCTCATGGGTTCATTAAATAAGAAGTACAATAAACACTATTTGGAAGCGTTCTCTGGTAAGTGTGAAATATCATTATTGAAGGCATTAACTTTGTAAAATTAAGTAAGTAGATTACTAATAGCAAAGTATTCTGCAGGAATGTGTACTTGTGTACCTAATAATGTTAAAAAATTCATTCATTAACCAAGTCTTCTGGGCAGAGTTTTCGTTATGACAAAAAAAAGTAACCAATGTTTCATAAAAGTGTCTGGTACCATCAATCTTGCATCCTGCAACACCACAACCAAATTCCATGGATAATAGCACCCGTCCTACCTGCACGATGGACAAGCGAAACGAGCTGACGCCTCTCCTTCGTCTTCAGCGCCCAGTACCCTTTCTACAACCTGCAAGTGGTCAAACGGCAGCAATCAGTACCCGCCAGACGGTATTCGACGAAGCACGCCGCAACGGTTCGCGCACCTCTTCACCGAACTCAGGCTTCGCGGTGTCTTCACCTAGAGCCCGAAGGTATGAAATACCGATAAGCCGGTCATCTTCAGTGGACAACTGATCTTCGAAGCGATCGGCTCATGCAGTGCGTTCGTTCGAGACGATTGACGTGTTAAGTGTACGCCTATGACCTTTGGCTTCGTTCGAGGATTATTGTGCGTTTTGATCTTGGGTGGAGACATGGGTGGAGGAGTTAGTGTGAAGTGAAGGTTTTATTTGGTGGTGATTTAAAATTTTCGGTGAGTATATCTAAATTTATACCAAATTTGGATTGTAGTTAATAGATTGTAGGTTTTGTAGATTATAGTAACATTGATTCTTATATTTGTTTGGACTTTAATTGGAATAATTACTTCCTTAACTAGTACCAAATATTTTCTTTTAAGGTGGATTGTATTAACTTGGGCTAACCTTATATTAGACTCATTGAATTAGTTAGTTTTTTTTACCAATTTTTCTTTTGATCCGGGTTCAAGTCTGATCTTGGTTCAAATTACTAAATTAGTACAATCTATTTTTAGAATACTTGAACCTCCAAACCCCATGTATGTTGATCTACCTGATTTAATATAACAAATTTACTTTTTTGTACAACACTTGTTTTGTCTTAACTTACACCTGAAGAGAGCTTGTATATCTGAAACTGGTAGCCACTACAATACATTGTTGGCAAACAATAACCAATGAAAACATTTTTATTATACATATTTTTGCAGAATATTTATTATACCAGTTTAAATAAAATTATGTGAATTGCTGGCGGGTCATTGTCCACATCAAACAATCGATTTTCCTTAACAGGTAGCAATAATAACCCATTATACATTAAGTACGCACAATTTTCGCTATTTAAAATACCGTTACTTTTTCTATCAAACAGTTATGAAGTTACTTACGATTGTTACGGTGTATTATATCGTTAGTTATGACCGCCAACTATAAAATAAAACCGATAAGTAATAAAATAGTAAAAGTGAACGATTTCTGCGAATTGATAAAACATTTCACTTCGAAAAATCTATATTTAATAATAATTGGTACGTTTACTGAACAACAATATAGCTTTTATTTTGATTGCTTGATAAGGTGGAAAGTTTTACCCACCTAAAGACAAGTGCGTTTAACTATATAGTAACACGAAAAAGAAAAGGGCAACATTCCACAGTTGGTCAACGACCCGCTGTTAAAATAACCAGACACCTTCCTTAAGGATAATTTATTCCATTACTATTATTGGTAAGGCATTGTCGGATAATTTACGGTTTAAATTTAAATGTCAGCTCGGATGGTTCATAAATCTTTAAACAAAATTCACGATTCCTATCAATTGGGCACGTTTCGCCTTCAACAATGTGGAAATCTCCAACAGACTAACTCTTCTTGTATTTATTGTACTTTTTTATATATTTACAAAATACCAATATATGACATTATAAAGTGTTATTGTTACAATTTGTTCGCTGAATTATTCAATTAAATTACATATTTATTATTTTTATTCTTATGAATAATAATTTCATACACAGGTACCTGGAAGATTAATCAACTCAATTTCAAAAACACCGCCTGTAAATTCGAGTAAAAGGATAATAGCAATAGTAAACCATTGTAGCAATCGAATTATTTAATAAAGAAGATCGTGCTCTCGCATAGTCTCGGGTTTCAGACTCAAAACCGGATTAGAATCCAAATAAAATTAGCGTTCTCAATTCTTCTTTCGGTACTGTCATCCTTATCGAATTAATCTTGAAAAGTGGCGTTGATTATTTTAGTCATGTTCCTCCGCAGGATATTCACGTACACGAAATTGTATTTTTTCCGCAGGGACAGAGATCGTGATCAGATTTCGTTTACGAATTATAAAAATGATTGTGTGTTGGAATAATAGTTATAACTGAACTTGACTAGATAAAAATTATCTATTGTTTTAAAATTGCTGACTAACCAAGGACCAAAGAATAGAAATTACTAAAAAATTCCGCAAAACGAAGCGTATGCATGCAAGGAGCTAAGGAAGTGGTCAAAGAGAATGTGTCTAGGATTCTAAGAGATTAATTAGAATAAATTCCTAACATGACTGCCAATGACCTCGAAATCCGCTTAAGCTATTTGGAATTGCAATATTAAAATTCATCATAATTTTTAATAGTACAACAAGACAATAGAGATATAAATGTGTACGGCTAAAAAGCAATTCCTTTGTTTCATAACAATCAATTAATTTTTTTATGTCACTTTTCACAGGGTCGTTTATCGAGTATCATTAAACTCTAATTGACAAATTCAATTTCTGATGTTAAGTATCTAAAGCGACCTAAATTACATCAAAAAACCACCTAAGAAATGACCCAATTTACGTGAAACGTATGAAGCATGCACAATTTCTACGGAAATGAAAAAAATGTAAAATTGTCAAACGACTTCTCACACTCTCACTGTCGCTTCTATGCATAATAACAAGGAAAACGCAAATTTTCAGCATACATACATCTCTGATAAGTATGCTGGTTCTCTGCCCGATTCCATCAATTACGTTATGTATGATATACGTGCCGGTTGCGAGAAAAACCTACTTTCTCGAACAATATGGTTCGAATTATTCACAATGCCCTGTACATTCCCATGTCCTGCAATCTTATGTCTTAATTTCGTACGGTTTTTTACTACAAAGGAATTATAAATGACGAAATGAAGACAATTTTGAAATTAATGATTAGCCTAAACGCATTAACATCGTGAACGTTCCATTTATTCTTATTATTATTTTCACACAATTAATTTTGTACAAGTGTTATATAATGAATTGTCCGTTTAGCTTAAATGTTTGCCAATTGTGAAATTCTAGATGATTGTTAATTACTTTAATAAGTTCTAATTTTTTTGGTTACATGTACGAAAATCTTGCAAACTATAATTTATTTAACTATACTCTCTGTAATGATTCTCTTCCTACTCAAATTTTATCGATATTATACCGTTTTTACAGCTAATTCCATACGGTACCTATACAGATTTAATTTACATTTTTATAATCAAATTAACAAAAAACTTAGATTTGCATACATAACTTCTAGGACGTAGAAAATAAAACTGTGCATAACGATAAGGAATATTTTGGGATAAAAATGGATAAATTTGTTGTTATTAATCGAGCAAATCATAAAATTTCTAGTGATTTATAAAATTAAAGTAATGTAGAAATTCTCATTTATATTAACAGGTTGTATCTAAGTACTAAATGTAACAATTAGGGTAAACACTTCCTGAATTTAATGAGCCATATATGAAACGATTATGCAAATTCAGAAATAATAATTTTAAAGATATATTATAAAAAGAAAAAGTATGATAGTCAAATGTTACTTCTATACTACTCACACTAAATATTTGTCACGAAACCTAAGAATTAGCAATAAATTTGAACAAGTGAACAAAACTTTTACTTTTTCTTGTTAGCTCCAATTTCTATTTCATCGATTAGTTTCCTCCTATTCACAAACTTATTTACCATAAAAAATTAAAAACGATTTAGTAGAAATCGAAAGTCTTGCCGTACTTCCACAAAATTAAGAAACATTTCAATCAAACGCAAAGTGAAATTTATAAAAAAGTAGATATTATTCCAATTGTCATAAATCAGTTGAAATTGATGAATCCAATTTTTGATTACTCTGGCAAACCTTCCTTCATCTTTAACTCCTTATACAATCATTCTCAAAGGTGTAATTACTGATTTGAACGTAGCAATTCTGATATTCATTTAAACTGTTTGTTTCAGGTTATGAAAGAAGGAAAATCCACCTTGAGGCTGCTGATTGCAGTAGTGCTAATCGCACTATCGGCAGCGCAATGTCCGTGGCAGCGCGAAGTACCCGAACTTCAATCAGCATGTTTGTGCTCCTACAATTTGGGGCACGAACTATCCGTGCAATGTGATATAGTAGACTTTCAAGTGCTATTGAACGCTCTAAATAAATACGCGAGAGCGACGCCTCTAGATTTGCTCTACGTTAACAATTCCACGATAAACGCGCTGACCGAAAATTCGTTCGCGAATTTGAAAATACAAAGCATGCAGTTGTCGGGGTGCAAAATACGGAAAGTCAGTGATAGTGCTTTTGCCGGGCAAGAGTCTAATCTAAAAAATCTGAATTTACAAGACAATGAATTAACGGAAGTACCTGTAAATAGTTTAAAAAATTTAAAAAGTTTAAGTTTATTAGATCTTTCGCATAACAAAATTAGTTCAGTGCCTTCAGGGGCGTTTGAGACGCTTCGGAAATTGGCTACGTTGAAATTATCCGATAATAACGTAACTATAGAAGAAGAAGCATTCAGGGGTCTAGAAGGATCATTAAAGAATTTAAATTTAAAAGGAACAAGACAAACGGACGTGCCTCTGGCCATTCAAGGTATGAGAACGCTTGCCTTTCTCGATCTTTCGCAAAATCTCCTAAAAGAACTACCAGGGGAACACGGCGAGAAAACATTCCAAGGACTTTCCTCTTTAACGGCTTTAAATCTTGAAAGAAACCTCATACAAGCACTACACGAAGACGCGTTTTATGGAGTAAAGAGAACTTTGAGTTCTTTAAGTCTTTTGAACAACCTCCTACCAGATTTCCCTACACAAGCTCTCGGAGCATTGAAGGAATTAAGAGTATTAGATATCGGATTCAACTTGCTCACCGAACTTCCTGAGAATGCATTTAAAGGAAATCCTTCGATTACTTTGTTAGCACTAGATGGCAATCCATTAGCTACCGTACCATTTGAAGCACTATCTCATCTCAATCACACTTTAAGGGGTTTAAGCCTTGGCGGGAGATTTTTGCATTGCGATTGCAGATTAGCTTGGGTAAGCCAATTAAATATTATTAATAAATCATTGCTAATTAATTTAAAATATTCTAATAGAACAAGAAACGACATTATTTGTTCAAAGAGAGAAATTTGAAATAGTCATCAACAGGAACTTTAAAATAGTTTACTAGTTATTTTCCTTCGAGTATTCAATCACCTAACCGATGATTTAATTCACTCAACTATGAACAGAAAGTAGGTCTAATCCGTAAAAAGAGATTTCATTTCTCATTTCAACATTTAAACTATTAATTAACATGAAACGAATTAATTGTACAAACCACAACAATTTACTTATGGTTATGATTTAAATAAGATATTGATCTAAAATTGTTATTGCGAATTATGTTTTTAGTTACCTACAAAAATAGAAAACAATTTACTAACCACCAGATATACCAAATTAAAATATATTGTTTACCTTTTTAAAATCGAACCTTGCCAATAGTATAACAAATCTATATTTAGGAATAATAATTGAAAATGTTGCAGGTCATCAATTGGATTCGCCATGGTGATTTGCAAGTGACCAGCAGAGAAAGAAACCCGCAATTCTGCGGCAGCCCACCGAGATTCCGTGATAGAGGTTTCTACAGTATACAACCTGAGGAATTATCTTGTTCTGCCAAAGACCGTTTAACTACCACAACAACTACAACTACTACTCTCCCACCACCCAAAAAGCCAGTTGAAACGAATAAACCTAAAGAACCTGTAGGAGTAGCTACAGTGGTGAGCGCGGATTTAGATGATTTAGTGCAGGCTAATCCGGATCTTCTAACATCTACCTCAACTACAAGACAGCCCACTAGAACAACAACAGTTCTTAGTACATCCTCCACAACCAGTAAAGTAACCACTGCGTCTACAACGACTAGTAAAAGCACTACAAGCTCCAGATTAAAGGCAGCACCCGCTTGGAAGAGCAGCCAGAAACCTGCTATGGTTTTGAATTATCCTGGTGCTAAAATCAAAGCAGATGAAGCTAAAGAAGTGATCGTCAAAAACGCCTTCAGACAAGACAATTCTGTAATAATACAATGGGGTTCCGAAACGGCAAACATACTCGGATTTAGAGTGGTATATAGATTATTCGGAGACAAAAGTTTTAAACAAGGTCCGCCGCTGGAAGCTAGTGAAAGGGAATTTAAGATCAAAAACGTTCCTTCGCAAGTAAGATTTGTTTTATATCACAAATTCACTGTACAGTCACTGTATACTATTATGAAATCTAGTTAGAATGATATATATTCTTGAACTAATAGAAGCTCTTTTAAACTACGACGATGCGTGCGTCTGAATTCCATGACGAGAAATGTAGAGCGTAAACTGCTTCGAACTCATTATTTTATTTTACTTAAATGCTTTTAGTACAGGCTTATCATCTCATGGTTTCGCTTTCACGGAAGTACATACAGGTATATTTCACAGCAGGAAAACGGTTCTAAAGAAACTATACCAAGCAAATAAAATTTTAACTACTAACGGCTCTTTCTTTTTTATATGTATTAGCATTTATCGTTTATCTACATTGATTTATTTTATTAGGAATGCATAATCGTTTGCGTCATCTCGTTGGAAGAAATCAACATTTCACCGGACACAGTACCATACTCTCAGTGCCGTGAGGTCCGTACTGTATCTTCGAGTTCTTCTAATATGGACAAAATCACGATAGCAGCTAGTGCGGCAATATGCGGTACAATCGTCGTGGCAGTCATCGTTTTCATAGCAGCCTCCAGGAGACGCTCCAGAAAACTCCACGAATTGCACCAGCAAAAGATGGGAATGAAACACGGGATACCCATTACGGGTTTACCAGTAAATTGCTGCAACGGTATACCGGCCAGTCCCGGCGAACCGCTATCATCATTGGCAACGCTCAATGCGTTTAACACTTCAAAGGTAAAAGAAATAAAAGTGAGTTAACTGCCGCTTTTGACTATTCTTTTTGTTGTCTGCTTCCATTTCAGGAATGGGACCAAGTGTCCGCCTACAGCGCCCACAGTCAAAGGCCTAGAATGTACACGGTGGAACAACCGCCATCTCTCGACGATATGAGGTCTCATTTTGGACCAAAAGGACACAAACGATCGAACGCCGACGGGCAATCACAAAACAGCTTCTCTAATCACTCAGGAAGATATCTCACAGCGACAGCTTTCCCTAACAATCTTCTAGCTTCTCGACAAGGTAAGAGAATACTTATTGGAATTAACTAGTTAATACATCTTGAAATATCTTGCAGATCTTCGACAATCTCGTCAATCGCTAGCTATGCAATCGGACCGAATGTCTTCGAGAATTCCACATCACGTGGCACCGGCTCACTCCATTGTATCGTCCAGCAGACGATCCCGGCCTAGATCTAGATCACGCGATCACAACCGACCAAGCAGTCGCTACAGCAACGCGGGATCCACTCACACACTGAATAACTATTGTGATAATTCCGATAATTGGACTGATCACGACATGGACATTTACATGGCGAGAAATCCGACTGCGAGGAACGGATTGGTGCCCTTGTGAAGTGGGAAAATTCGACTGAGAATGCGATGTACGATTTACGAAACGACCGTTTTTGAAAAATCCTACTATCGGCTGAATTTATAATAATCGAATCGAATTATGAAATTGCATTAAACGATTATGCATGAAATGCATACGAAATTTAATAATTTATGAAGGTTGTTTTGTAGTTAATGCGTTGTATTTTGTTCAAAGTAGATCTAATAATTGTGTACATATGCTCGTAATTACGAAAATATTACATTTTAAGAATTTAATTATTTAGTTAGATATAAATTCAATTAAACGAACTCGAATGTAACGACCCGAATTCAACACACCTCGTTAAAGTTAATGACACTTTTAAATACGTTACAACATAATGTAAATTCGATCTATAAATTAAAGGTGGCTCTAATAAAAGGGACATTTAAATTTGAAATTTAGGCCAGTGCGTACGTTTAAAATAACAATTTTGTGTAAATATGATTTTCATACTCTTAAACATATAATGTAATTGAACTATTAAAATGAAATCGATCAATTTTTGCTCAAGAATTGTTGAGAAATTTTAGCACAATATAAGTAGTAAATTCATCACTAATTTATTGTTAAAATGTTTGTATATATATTTTTATACCAAATGATATAAATTATAAAAAACCTCTGGAGTTTCATTCAAATGCTGTTTTGTAAATAAAAAAATGTTGACTCACCCAGGAATAGGCATCGATTTCTCCCATCGGTACCTCATCTCTTGAACGAATTCGTACCACACATGTGCAAACGCTCGTAAACCACCCAAACTCTGCAGACAATGCGACAATATAATTGACAATCTCCAAATGAGAGAATCCGAACTGCACGTTTTGAATCCCTTAAATTCTTCGTCGAGATTCTTGAATTGTGCCTAGAACACATATTTACAAATAAACCACTCATATGTCGAGGCAATCAATAAATATACCTGCGAAAGGCTTTCCGTATGTTCTCTTTCTTCTCTTCCATAAGGGAAACTTGATTTTTCATCTGCATCCGGGAACAAAAAGTACAACATGGGTACTAGCATAGTTTCAGATAACGGAGGATTGCTTCGCTTATTCCTAGTCAACGATTGTCTGGCTGTCCTCGTCAACAGTCGTGAAATAGCGGGCACGGCAGGCTCGGTTAAGAGATCAAGTGGATTGTTTTCAGAGCTGGGTAGTGTAGCAAAATCGCCTAGTATATCGTAAATTGTTGAGGTGTTGGTGAGATTCTGCAAGAACTCGGTCATAGCATCAGCCATAAGACAGACGGGATTGTTGGTGGAATTTATCAACAACGACCAATTCATAGCTGCAGTCGGATCAAAATCGGTGTAGTTTTCGCTATCGAGCACCAAATTATCCGGTAAATGATTCCATGTGGCTTTTAATATTATCGAACTAATTGGATCAACGGTTACACCAAATGGCAGTAAAAATAGAGACTCGATGTCATAATTCTGTTGTAATAAATCTTGTTTCCACACGAATCCACCGAATTCTGTTAGAGTGTAAGTTAGCTGGGCTGATACTATAATATTTTCGAGGACACATGGAGAAGCAATTTTCGTTTTGAACAAGTCGAGTAAACCGGATAAATAATTACAGTAAGGCAAACCTTTTTTTAAATGCACCATTTCAAAGTTAGTCCTTATCACATCGCTGGCAAACACGCCTAAATACAATCTTTGCCATTTTTCCCGTATCTGCACAAATAATGGGATAGAGTTTTCCGATGTCACTAAATTTCCCTCCACTACATAAATGGAACTTAGAAGAACTTTAATCTTGCTTTCGTTGACAATACCGTTGTTACTGACTGGTGATAATACAATGAATTTATCTAAACCATACCATGTCGATAGGCAAGAGTGGTATTCAATGTGGTTTTCATCATACAGTTCGAAATCATGTAAAGTATCAATAGGATTTTTTGGCCCTTTATCATCTAAAGCTGCATCTTCATTAATTCGTTTAGAATACAAGTACAAATAAAACTGTTCTTCAGCAAAATTCAATTTTTCTGTTTTTATATCCCATATGCTCTCCACATCAGTAACACTATCGTTTCTTTTGTCGTCCACTCTCCACTGGTTTATTATTTCTTCGATACGAGCCATGAAAACTTCCCATTCTGAGGCAGTGGTAAAATCTTGGTGATAAAACTCGCTTTCATCTATTTCTTCGTTCATTTTTAAACTAAAATTATTAAATACACCAAAAAACAAAAACAGAAAACAGCTGATATTTGACAAGAAAAGTACAAACGACAGTATTGACATTGACAATTGACATTGACGTATTTTCTAAAAAAAAAACATATAAGCCAACTACATATTAGGCAACACTGAATACACCTCACTCAAATATATGATTCTAATTAAATTAACAAAAATTAACAGTAATCAATAATTATTTCGTTGGATATAGTTAGTTAGCAGAAATAACGAACAAAAGTAATTATGGGTTTTAAATTTGTTGTTTTTATTTTTCTTCTTATCGTATCTAGAAATGAGGTATGTATGTATGTATAAAATTATTCAGGCCCCTATCAGCTTATCCCTTATTTAATCTAATCCTAAAATTATTGCTAGGTTTCTACTTAACAAATCGAAAAAATCAAAATTTCTTGACTCCCATACGTGTTGTAAAAGTGTTTTGAAATCGTTTAACCAGATAGCTTAGACTTGAAAAAATTAATTGTAAAAAAAACACACGAACAAGTGACACTCTCCGTGAAGTAAATTTATGATTCAATTATTAAGTTTAATTGGCAACAAAGAGAGCGCCGGTTGAGGCATGCATAACTCTGTTAAAACAAAAATTGATTTTAATATAAATGCTAATAGCGGCGCTATAAAAAGTTTACGTTTGTTGGTGAGGATTATGAAAGTCTAGCTTTCGTTTTTTGCAGTGTAAAAAGTACAAGATAACAGATCAAGTCTACTTCGATGTCCAAATCGACAATGAATTCTTGGGGAAAATTATCATCGGGTTGTTTGGTGAAGTCGCCCCCTTAACGTGCAGGAATTTCATAGAATTAGCTACGATTGGTGTTGATGGTAAAACATACGTTGGGACCAAATTTCACACTTCCATTCAGAGGATTATGATACAAGGTGTGTTGTCGATGAAAGTAATTACAACAAAAATAATTAATTATTTTCGATAACGGTAGGGGGTGATATCGAAAACGACGATGGAACCGGTTCAATGAGCATTTACGGACGTTATTTCGATGATGAAAATTTCACTATTAAACACGAATCAGCTGGTTTGGTAGCAATGGCAAATAGTGGTAACTAAAAACGAATTTCTTAATTTATAAAATGCTTTTTTAAAAAGAATATTCTTTATGTTTTTGTAGGACCAAATACGAATGGTTGCCAATTCATAATAACTACTATGGCATGTCCATGGTTGGATGAAAAGAACGTCATATTTGGAAAAGTAAGCCACATATTCATTCATTATTGGCTAATTTATCAGATACCTATACTTGCTAAATATTCTTTTCCCGTAGGTGATCAAGGGAGCTGAAGTTGTTCACAAAATTGAGCATTTGAAAACTGACGTAAACGATAAAATATTGAGGAAGGTGTTCATATCAGGAGCAGGAGTTATCAAGACAGATCCTTTTTACGAAACGCCTAAGAATTACGAGTAAGTTTCTTTTGAGAGTTTTGAGCAAAAAAAGATTTTTCAATATTTCTTCAGGTTGTCTCTTTGGGCATGGTTGAAGGCTGGCTGGTTTCCTCTAAGTTTCTCCTTTGCCATACTGATTTTTTTTCAGTTCATAATGGCTCAATTGAATAAATATGAATTAGGTGGTGGAAATTAGAAATTATTCGATTTCTAATTTTAGCATCCAGTAATTTATCGTTTTCTTATTATTAACCGCATTGAACTACTTCTGCTGCTTTGCTTATTCTGTGTTTAATCTTCTAGAACGTTAATGTGCTAGCAAAAGGATCGAATTTAGAGTAAGAATGTAATTAAAACAAGTTGTATCATATGTGATAAATATTTATATTTTGATAATTAAACAGGATTCAACTGGCTGCACGAATTTATAAATACAGACATTGTTTCATTACCAGTTACAAATATTTGTACATTCAATCAATAACTAAAAAATCTTTCAGGGTATAATTACATTTACAATTTTTATCATCTTAATATATTCAATAATTCTGATCAGTTTGTCTTTTTCGTTTCATCGAAAATCAGATACGTATTATCAAGTAAATCCCCGCTGAAATTTACATGCAAGAGGAAAGTTTGTACTGGAATAGAGGGCAGTAATGCAACCACTTGGCTAAATTAGCTAAATAAATAAATAATAATAAATATCAGTGGAACAATTTTAATTAAAAATTTGAAACCTACGACTATTCTATCAATTGAGGTGTCTCTCCTTTATAAGTATATCACTTACATTTATACTAAACGAATTTTTTGGTATTAAATTTTCTGGTTGCATCACCGATGACTGGGAAAAAAGAACAAGCATATGAATTTAAGACGATACTCGAAAATAATATAATAATAAAAAACAGTCTTATGATACACAGTGAAAGTATTTACATAGAATGCCACCATGCTAAACAAAAATGGACAACATCTATAACAATACAGTGATCTCTTCGTAGATATATATCTAATTCAATATGTACAAGGTGTAAAGCTAAATACTGGCATTGCCACGGTGTCCATTGGACACATTTAATATTAACACGGCAAATTGAGGGAGTTCACGAATGGACAAATTCAATGCATGACTAAGAACCATGCATAAAGAAAATGTATTTATTTTATTTTAAAATATTTTGAGATCTAAGGATTCATAATCCTCTAATACAAAAATAATAATAAATACACATTCGCATAAAAAACGTGTTAATACTGAAGAATTTCATAGATATGCATTTTATTTTTTAATAAATTAAAATAAAAAAATCATTAAATAAAAGTAAATGTGCTAAAAGATGCTGTTTATCAGACATTTTAATGAATTGATGTAGAATTAGCATAAAGCGTTTCTAATAAAATTTTACTAATAGGTTTCTTAACAAAAAATAAATAACAATAAACAAAAATATTTCTAATTACATTGAATAAATCTTTAGAATGTGACCTATAATGTAAAATGTATCTAATTAATTTAAACCTTCTGTTACACAAAGGATGATTATTTAGATTTATTTCAAACCAGTTTTATTAGTTGATCAATGATACAGACTAAAAATTGAAAATAATATACAGTACTGGATAAAAATTCTTAAAACTGATAATGTAATAAAATTGTCCATTGATCAACTCCCATATCATACACTCAGCTACTTTTATAATACAAGACGCTAAAATCTAATTCTTTTTTTTAATTAAATATTTTCTAATTACATAGCAGCTTCGCAGCTTTTTACAGCTGTTGTATCACAGTATGCATCATTGCCCCAATCCGTTTATATTAATTTTCTAATAAAGATGTTTCAAAAATTAGCCAGAGCCCGAATTGTCGAGGCGACTTTCAAAAACTCGCCCGTCCAAAAAGCGGCGCTGCCAAAAATCGTTCGGTTAGCACAAGCACTGATTTTTGTTCCGTAACTTTTTTTAAATCAACAACAAATTCGACCAGACAACGTTTTGATTTGATTCGAATCTGAAACATCCCATTCTAGACTAGTTAAGTAGGAATTGCGTCGGCAGAACGGCGATCTCAAGCGGCCAGCCCCTCTCTGGTGGCCGTGGGCGGCAAGAGGTCTTCCCTGGAGGTGTCCACGGCGCTCTTTCTCTCGAAGTGCAGGTCCCACAGCCCACGGGTGTCGGGCTCGTGGCTCGGCGGTCTGTCAGCCCGCTCCGGCGACCCCGCCTGCGATCTGATCGCCTCCGGCGGCGGGTACCCGAAGCCCAGGAGGCCGCTGTACTTACCCACCCCCGTTAATCCGTTGTGGTTGTTCTGAACCATCGATATTTCGTTCAACTGGAATGCGGAACATTGTGGTTTAGATAAACGAATGCGTAAGAGAAGCGGTGATTTTTACCTTCTGCTGCATGCCGTTAAGGAACGGAGCCGGGAGGTACGGGTAGAAGAGGTCTGGCCTCCGCTGCAGAAATTCGGAATCCTTGGGAGTCATGGGAATGGGTGGTAGGTCGAGGGACATGCGTCGACCTCTTCGAGACGCCCCGTTGCTCCACATATGCGTGCCCATATGAACCTGGAACAGACAACCCAATGATCACCCTCTCGTTGCAACAAAAAAAAATAAACTCTTACATACTTCTATTTAAAACCAATTAAACCGATTTAATTAGACATGAAATTGTTACAACCAACTTGTAAAAGTGTGGATTAAGAAGCTCAATCGGTCTGCTATATAACTTTCATCCAGAACTAACAATGGCAAACATGTAATGCTTCCTCTATAGTAGTAAGTTCAACAAGTACCATTGGAAATCTAAGTTCTGCTTTGCGTGGCGAACGATCCCCCGTATACCAAGAGTTAGTGGTTGGCGTTAGTAAGCAGAAGCGTCTGTAAGAAGGGGGGAGGACTTACCTTGAGATTGCCCTTGGTGGTGAACGCCTTCTGGCACACGGTGCATCTGAAGGGCTTGTCTCCGGTGTGGGTCCTCATGTGGATCTGAAGGGCGGAACTCGACGAGAAGTTCTTATTGCATACGGGACACAAATGCTTACTTGATTGTAAGCCTGCAACACACACGCACACCGACACGCATTAGCCCACAACCTCTTTTTTAGCATTTAGTTAGTGCAAGCGATGACAGTGGTTAAGGTCGCATTGCCTCGCTTATTTGCTTTTATGTACACATGTAAATGTATGTGAAAGAGGAAAAACCTTGTGTATAGTCTTTCTAATGTCAGTTTAAAATAGTGTATGTTCATAAACCAGGTGCAAACGTTTACTAAGGTATAGAGATACATTGAATGAAATATTTAAACATTTATTGCATGCATGAATGATTAGGAATAATATGAATAATCATTTTAAAGTGACATTAGAAGGTTGTTGATATTAATGATCAAGATTATCATTTAAAGAGCTTTTTAAAAATAAGTTTACTTTGTTTAATTCTTTTTCATCAATTAAATATTTATTATTATTAAGGTGTACGAAATATTGGAAATACCTAGTTGGTCAGTAAAACAATTATATTATTAATGAGACATTCACAAAATAATTTGTACACACATAAATCGATTTAAAAAATATAAGAAAAATGCATATAAAAAGTATGCAGATGAAAATTTAGAAAATCATATTGCTGATTATTTTTGAAATATATCTTTCGCAGTCAAAAAAAATGAATTACCACAAAATTAAAAACTATTTTGAATGAGTGGTTTAAAAATTTATTAGTTCCAAGTGCTTAATTTGCAGAAATAAATAAAATTTTAAGTTGTTATCATTAAAAACTGATAAAAAATTGGTTTCCTATACAATTAACGACCAATGTGCAATAATGATGAAAGAGAAGATTCCCTAATTATATCTTGAATAAAAGAGTTATTCAACCAAAAATACTTACTAGGAGGACGTTTAGGTAAAGGTAATTCAGTCTCAGTGGGTTCTCTTTTGATTGGCTGCGATTCCGTTTCCTGCTTCTCCGGCAGCAGCGGCGCCTGTGGCGGCTGGAGGTTCTGCGGCGGCTGCGGCGCCAGCGCCTGCTGGGGCGGCGGTTGTTCGCGGTCGCCCTCGTTGGACGCTGAGTCCAATTTGGACAAGCCGGGCGGCGCCGTGGACGACTCGTCGCCGCTCAAACTCGGCGGCTTGTTGTCGAACATGTGTTGCGGCATGTCCCGTATCTTGTGGGTGAGCATGTGTTGTTTCATGTTGCCCTGGAACAAAACGGGAATTTTTAAATGATGACAGACCTTCTTGTCGGCGGGTCTTACCGCCATTTTTGTCCTCAACGAGGCGTATCCAGGCGTCATCGGTAAATGTAAAATGGAAGGAATGGTGTTGAAGAGGGCTGATTTTTGATTTTGTGCCCTCCAGTGATCTACTCCATCCTGGATACGCCCCTGCGTACAAAGACAACCATCCTGAAAAGAAAATACAAAGTCATATACATGCCATTTTGGTGGTACTTCGACAGCTATTTCCCCCATGGTGATGCGATTGTATTCACTAAAATGCTATATTGAAAAAAAATGGAACTACACACTACTGGGTACTAAATACTAAAAAATACAATAATCTGTACAATATCAATTCATAAAACCAATCCAAATTGAAACCAGCCAAAATATATTCGAAGGATTGTAACTTTCACAGCGACTGTACAATCTTATTTAAACAGCAATTTAAGCGCCATTAAACCTACCAAGGCTACCAAAATTTTTCTAATGTGTCGATAACGATTAAGACGAACCCATCAAATCGCCCTGTCTATTTTTAATCCAACAATAGATGCGGCGACAACTCGAATTAAACCGTTGGCTTCAGGCCAGACATAAGTTATGTCGCATGTCTAAGTGGTCTATTTCTGATTGGGATTCTTTTTATACGTTAAAGATGATTTTGTCGACAATCGTTAGTCTTCTTTGACTTTAATTGTGAGGCGAAATGCTGAAAATTTCTCGGGCGTCTCCAACGGTCCGGAGCCGATCGCAGAGAAAATAAATGCAAGCGAAGCCGCCTGTTTCAAGTAATAAATAGCAAATTGAACGGGTAATTACCTTAGTGGAAAATCCTCTTTCGCAGATGGAACACTTAAAGGGTCTTTCTTTGGTATGGCTTCGGTAGTGGATCTCGAGGGCAGAGTTACAGGCGAAGGTCTTGAAGCATAGATTACAAGTTGTGTTTCCACGACCTGAAAAGTACGAACACATTATTTTAAAACTTATTAATGCTGTGTTTGTTTACGTATTTACAAACAAATAAAAATAACGGTTTATTTTTTTATTTCTGTAAATCCTTTGTATGCACAACAAAATCAAAATATTTTGATTATGAGCGCTGATCTCGTTTTTAGTGTCTATTTCGGATAACTGGATTTAAGACATTATTTTCGGGAGTTTAAAAGCCTCTTAAAAATTGTTTCATTTTTTTTCTTAAATCGTCGAATCCTTCCTTATTTTTAGGTTATACACATATTAAAAGGCAATACATTAACGTATTTTTAAAGCCTCGTTCTCGAAATAAACCGCAAATGGTTAATGTAATAATTTTTACAGCCCAAACCATTTCAAACAAAAAGTTAGTTATTCGTATTTAACAAGTATTATTTATATGCAAGAAGTTTTTTTATACTGGCAGGTGCCTCGTCAAAATTAAACCCACATGTGTCAAATCTACCGTGTTTTTTTACTTAACGCAATACAATAAACTGCTAATTAAATTTCATTAAAGTAAAGAAAAAATAATTCATATACATAAGTAGATTGTTTATATTCTTACCAATAGGCCCGACCGCTAACCTAAGAGGACTGAATGACGTAGACGTTAGGACAGACGACGTGAGAGAAGACAAAGCTGAAGAAATCAACGGAGACTGTCCCCCGGATGGTAAAAGCCCGAAAGAAGGGAACATCGGAGGAGCGCTGCTCGGCGTCGATGGTCCCGGGCTCGTCATCGGCTGGCTCCTGGGCGTTAAATCCAGTGCCCCGACGGAATTATCCGACGGCGCAGGACTGCTGGCTTGCTGCGACGATGGCGGCCGAGGTAACTATAACAAAACGCCGCATTGCCAAACAAAGAATTCCAAACCTTATTACCAACAGTTGATAAAACAGCGAATTTAAAGACTTTACCTGGACGGGCGTTTGATTGGGCGAAGACCGCAAGTCTGCGCTGCCTGGACTAGTAACGCCGGATTGACTAGGAGACTTCTCGCCGTTCTGCAAGGGAGGCGGCGTGGAGGCGGTGGTGCGGTTCGAGCAGAGATCCTCCGCCGAGCAGCTCAAGACGCTGCCCGAGAACTGCGAGGCGGCAGTGTTGACGGGCATTCCGACGTGCTGGATGTCCGACGGGGACGAGGAAAACGGCGGCATGTTGTGGTTCTCCAGGGAGCTCATGCAATCGTCATCGTCGTCGTCATCATCGTCGTCCATGCTGCCGTGCTCGGATTTGATGTCCCTGTCGCATCTCATGCCTAGCGGAAGGCCGGCGTGACCGAGAGGAGAGAGACCGGGCGGCGGAAATCCTTGGCTGAGGAATGGATGAATGGAATTCGGTAGATTGGGGAATCCACCGGGCGAAGGAAAGTCTTTGATTTCTGCTGCTTGGATTTGTTCTGGCGTGAGATCAGTTGGTTCGCCGGTATGCAGGCGGATATGTTGTTGGAGCACCAAGGCGTTGGTAAACTTTTTATGACAAACGGGACACTGGTGTAGTACTCTCATCGGGGGTTTCGCTCGATGGACTCCCATGTGAGTTTTCAAATTGCCTTTGGTAGTAAAGGCTCTGCCGCAAATTTTGCATTTGAAGGGTCGTTCACCTGTGTGCGTTCTATAGTGCATTTGCAATGCACTCTTGCACGATAATACTCGATGGCATATAACACATTGATTCGGATCCGACAGTTTATGTTCGATATTATCTACTAGTTGTTGTAATTTACTGGTTTCAGAGGTTTTGGTGATTTCGATTAAACTTTCCCAAGAATTGTCGTTACTTCCTGGTCTAGGTAATAAATTAGTATACAAAGACGGATCTTTTGTAATGTCTGTCAAAGGATTACTTCCGGAAGAAGTGCTACTCGGTGGTGAGCTGGTGTGTCCAAAAGTAAAATTCGGCGGCAATCTTTGACCAATAGTTGATATGCTTAAAGGGCCAGTGATCGAGTTATTTGTGGATAAATTTTCCGGCTCGTTTTGAATGCTTTCATTATGCTCACCACCAATACTTCTTTGCTCCATCATGTCTTCATTGGAATACTTGGTGCTATTGCTGCATTCATCATATGGTAATGGAACCGAATACCTCTCTTGCTCATTATCGTTTTCATTATCAGTAAAACTAGCTTCTTGTTTAGGCGTTACGTGAGGCGTATTTATTAAAGGTTTACTTTCAATTTCATGATCATTTTCTCGTTTGTCATCATTTTCTGTCTCGTGGAGTTTTTCTTCGGTAGGAGATGGTGATCGAGGAGGTTTGCTCAAATCTGCAGGAATTTCTTGTTCCTCTCTTTTTAGAAATAACGGATGTGGAGGAAATAATCTAGGCGGAGGATCTAATAGTCTATGGGGCGATGACTGCATTCTATTTGTGAGAACTTCAGATGGTGGTGGGCCTTGTGGCCTAAATAACGGTAATGATGAGGTTGGAAAATGCGGACCAGCCGAAAATCCCAAATGAGGAGGATGTGGCGGTCCACCGGGAGAGAGAGATGACTGTTGACCTAATTGGGCCAATAACGGAGGATGATACTTATCTAAATGTTCGGGTACTGGATTTGGATTCATCTTGATATGAGGAAATTTCTGGCTGTGTCTTTGGAAATGTACCTTTAAGTTGCCCTTTGTCGTAAATCGACTGCCACAAACGTTACATTTGTACGGACGTTCACCAGTGTGACTACGGATATGTATCTGAAGGGCCGAATCTGAACCAAACACTTTCCCACAATATCTGCAACGATGTTTAAAAAAGGGCTCGTTTCTTCCTTTCGAATCATACGGTGACATTGATCCTTTGCTTCTTCTAAAAGCGAGCTCATCGGCTAAATTTGTAGCCAATAAACCTTGACTGGCATTGTCTAAAACTTCTTGCGCCCTTTTTTGCAACATTTCTAAAGTGTTTGTTTCCTCTTGCGGTTGATCATCGTGAGTAATAATCGTCGATGCCAAAGACGATGAGATAGAACATTGAATTTGCATTGATGGCATTGATGATGGTACGCTTACTTCTAGCGTTGGAGGTTCTGCGGCTGGCGATGCTTGAACTGGCGGTACGATCGGCGGAGGAAGAGAAGCAGGAGTGGGTTCGCGCGAAACGACGGCCATAGCTTGCGGCGCTGACGGCGATTCCACGGGCGTATTTTCCACCTCATTATCCGACGGAGGCGGCGATTCGGCCGAAGCTTCCTCTTCCTGTGTTCTATCTATCGATAATTGTTGTTGTAGCTGTTTGATTAATTGCAACTGCAATACTTGCTGGTGTTGCAACGACAATAACGTTGATTGTAACACGGCGAACTCCTGCAAAGCCGCATCGTTATCAGCGTTATTCGCCAGTGCCGTAGCCGCGAATTGGGCCACGGCCACTTTGGTGTTCTGCAGCGCCTCCAGCGTCACGTGGCCGGTTGCCGCCGGTATCGGAAACGGAAATCCCAGCCGTTGCGCCGCCTCCTCCGGCGAATTTTGATTGATGCTGTTGTTGTTAGCGGCATCCTGTATATTCTCGATTTTCTTCCCGTTCGCCTCGTCGTCGTCGTCGTCCTCCTCGGACACGACCATGTCCTCGGGATCGGAGTGGGCAGGATCGTCGTGCTTGATCGCCTTCTTGTCGCACTCCTCCTTGTGCGTCACGTACTCCTGGACCTCAGTGAATTGCTCCTGGCAGCGCTGGCACATCAATATCTCGGATTGCTGGTCTTCTTCCGAAGCTGCAGTCGCACCGAGACACGGTCCATCTGTAAATAAAATTAGTATGAATATAAGTATACAAATACCTAAATAAAAAATATCTAACTGAGCATAGAATGAAGGAACAGCCTATAATAGATGAAAATATAAGTGATATGAATAAGAGGAAAATTACAATAATCAAGTGAAACTCATAAACCATAGGTAATATAAAAATTACACATCTATATTACCTATATCTTTTGGAAATTCGATGATAGATAACAATAATTAATTAGTTTATGTAATTATTTGGCAGATGTATAGTAAAATAATAGACAGACCGGTTCTGAAAAAAGAACGGTATAAATTAAAGTTTACAGCGTCTGCGGCTACTTACGATTGTAGCACCGTTGTGCAGTACCATAAAAAGTACAAAAAACCACATCACCGAATCGAAGGAGCGGGCACGTCCGCTCCGTCGTGGAATACATCGCGGTATAACATCACGCCGACGGTAGGGAGACCGAGCTGGATTAGTATAGGTCGAGATATTATTAAATGAGATATGAAAGCGGTGGGGGAAGCGATATGAGGGGTATAAGAGCAGGCGCGAGAGATGATAAACTGCCGGCGAAGAACCAGCCACGGAGTCGGTTATGACAACTGGGCGGCGTCGGGCATTCATAAATAAAACACACTTGTTGCACACTTATAATCCCCGCCTTTCAGAAACGCCCAGGTTCCATATCCATAACGCATAAAGACTGACAGCTACAGGCTCCGTTTTGCGCCTTTGTTCTTCGGGGCTCCGCGAAGACGATTCCGAGAAATTTCGACGCGCGGTAATTCCTGCAGGTTGTCCGCTGTCGACTTACATGGCCGCAGTCGATTAATTTTATCGCGGATAAACTGCGATCCGATGCGGCAATAAAACTTTGGAGAAAAGCATTAAATTATCTTATCGAATGTAATTACAGATTAGTGCCTACAGAAACTTACGATTCAACTAACTGTCTAATTTCGTCCAACTTTATTTCCAAAAACGATAAGAATTTTAGAGTTTGCAATAGGTTCTTATTTAACTATTTCTCATCACTTTTGTAATCGATACTTAAAATTTCCTATATAACCTACTCTTAATCGTCTATACCTATATTACCCGATGGTTTCATTTTGTGTTCCTTAAAAAATACACACATATGTTAGGTAGATACATAAAATTTGTCTACAAATTTTTGTGTGTTACGCCTTTGAAGGATCATTTCCACCATGTCTGATGTAAACTCTTTATCGATTTACCTATACCGCTATACGGCTTATTATTTATTGAAGACTCGTTATTACTAACCGGTTGAAATTGATACGCTCTTTATGTCCGATTACAAAACTATCATGTTAAATTAAATGGTATCGATCCATACTGTACTTGATTCCGCATTAATTATTCATAATAAATTGATGGCCGGCGGGGTTTTTCCCATTAATCCTTCGATTCCGAACAAAAAATCACGCTTTTACGTTTCAAAAAAAATGGTATGTTGAAAAATGGACGCAGAGGTTGCATGTTGAGACTTATACCCGGTAAATTAATAGTTAATATATCTACTTACCGGAGAAAAAAAAACTTAAATTCATGCGATTATAATTAAGCGAGTTCTTGAATGAGTTCAAGGAAATTTCTTGGAGTCATTTCGAATGTATTTGACATATAAAAGCAACTGCGTTCGTACATTCCAAAATTTAAAGCAAATTTATAAATAACAACAAAGGAACCAAACTCAACGGTGTTTACTATTATAGTAATGAAATATTGTTTCAACGAAGTTTTATAGAATAATGCAAATTAGAATCTGATCGATATATCTGATCTTTAGGAAAAATATAAAATGCATGATGGAATTAATAAGCCATAGATGTGTTACTGATGTATATTAGTATTTAACTTTATTTATTTCATTTAAAAACAATTGTCTGCTGGGATACTTGCAGTCTATCTACTGTAGACACGAATGTCTGCATCATGAACTTGAGTTAATTATTGAGAAACTCGATCCACAAAAAGGATTCTCCTCAACTAAAAATAGCTTATATAAAGGTCAGTAAATTTAGATTATTTATAGTAGGTACCTACAGAAACTTCTACATAATGAAAATTGTTTAAGGACATATATTTTTATTCCTCTCTGTATACATTTTTTATAGTTATACGAATCAGTCAAGCGGTAGATCGTTCTGCCCTTGAATTTTCATGGATGGTACAAGATATATCAAAGATTTGGGGGAATACATTAGAAAACGTCTTCTAATTAAAATAAACGACGGCATGAGGTAGACCATACTTGTTTTATTGTGTAAGGCTATAGGAAGAGTTATTTTTATTCCTCTATTTTCGTTAAATGCGTGTTTCTTCGTTATATTATATTCGAATAATTATTTTATATTCTGGTGTTTTAGAAGGAAATGTACCCATCACACATAAGAAATAGACAAACATTTTTAGACTGTTTTTTTCAAATGATAATCGTTGTTTATATAATTAAATTTAAGAATAGTATTACTATCTTCTAAAGAATTTTCGAATCTACCTAAAAATCAGCCAACGCAAATAAATAAATAATTGATTTATTTCAATTCAATTTGTATCGAAGCCCGAGCGTAATTTATCGACTAGTAATATCTATCATTTTAATTAATGGAAAGAGGAATATTTATATGAACGTCCGTCGACTGATGAATATTTATTAGGCGAACTTAAATCCAGCCATTACCATCAAACAGTCCCAATGCCCAACCACCATCAATTACGATGAGGAATGACCTTTGAATTTAATGTATATTTAAGATATCGATTGGATGCGCTAACAAGAAAACTCACTAAACAACAGAAACTCTTCACGAATGAACCGATGAAATTTAAACTATGTATACAATAGAACCGACTGAATGTTGGAGAAATACACAAAATGCAGAAAAAATATATATTTTGTTTAGTCTATAAATTTTACTGCCGGGTCGTTTGATTTCCGTTTCTGCATGAAATTAAAAACGCGCCGTGTTGTTCCACTACCCCCAAAGGCTTCGATGCCAATAATAAGAAACGTGATATGGAAGCCCCTGCTGCGTCGCTTCGTTAACTTCCTGCCGTTTAATATACGCGCTTTTTTCCGTAAATTTAGCATCTTCTGCGTCTCATCAACGAGGGAACGCGGTTATATTTAATAAATAAAAAAATACTAATTCTCTCTGTCGCGTGCTGTAAATGGGGTGAAATAACACCTAAAAAGCTTGCACTCCCCTTCAACAATAATAGCGGGGTTATTTAACTGCGGAAGCGTATTTTAAATATTAGTCAGAAAAGTCTGAGGCAGTAGCGGCACTAATCGTTTTTGTGGCATAATACAATTTTCATTAAATAAATAAAATAAAAACATTGTTTCAATTATCTTAAATTCATTTGCACAATCATTTTTGTGCGTTCTTATTCGTATTTCATGAATTACAAATTAAATTGTCCTCGAATTATTAATATATATTTTTGCCGTTGTACCACCACTGATATATGTACATCATAAAGTCACATGTGACAACAGGCTGTTTTCAGCTTTATGGAAACGGAAGCAGATCTTTCGGCTCGTGCATCGAGTTCTAGACCATTTGTCTGTCAAACAACCCCTCTCGATAAACACGTACGTATACATAAATATATGATCCCATTTCTGGTAAAAATGCGCACGGGCTCTAAAGGCAATGAGTAAATTACCTTGACTTTCTGTAAACTCTTCGGCTCATCTAAAAATAGCGCGACTTTATCTTGTTTCGGGTGACAGTGCGAGGAGGATTTAGTAGGCGAATTGCTTTATTCGAGTTAATTAATAATTTAATTAGATGCTTCCGAAAATTTCAAGCTACTGTAGATTTAGAAAATGTAGAGGTACCTAACATTGGCAGTTAAAAACAATTTAACATATAAACTAGCTTGCTCCGTTTTTTCCACAGTGATCGAACATATTTCCATGAGTTTAAAACAACATTTTACCATAAGAAAACGGTACGGCACATTTCGCATTAATGTCGCTCCATTGCATGTTATTAGAATAATCTAATAAATTGCTTATAACAAAGCAATGTAGCAGTGGAAATATAAATGTAACTATAATACAGTAGCTCTGATAACAATGGTAACTTTACACGGCAATTCTGAATAAGGTAGGCGCGAACTCATGAATATAATATTTACTGAAGAGCTGAAACTAATACTTAACAATACAAATGAGTTTAGTTTTTTTCCCTTTTATTTAGGTACACATTTTCATAATTTATTGTTTTACTTATACGTACCTACATATAACATGCATGTGTGCTTTATTTAAGTAGTAAATTTGTCTGGATTCTTATTTAGATATTAATTGGTTAGGATTATTATTGCTTCATAATTTCTTTCAATCGATAAATTTCAGTTAAATCTAAAATTCCTAATAGCTGTTCCCGAATTTCCAAAATTACTTCTTTATTGACGATAACGTATGCGTTTTTAATTGGAATTAAATGGAATTTAATACAGATAATTTAAGTATTTTTTGTTGTTTAACTTTGTTAAACACGTTCTATTAACAAAGCACAGCCATGTGGGTTTAATGTAAACAATGAAGCAATTCGGGAGAGCCTTTTTTTATTATGTAGGAGATGAGATTATTGTTTTATGGCTAGCATAATTGTCGGTGAAAGACAATGTAATTGTATCGTAAAAACTATTTCGATACCAAAGAAAATATACAAAATGGTTATAATTAGGTGTTTTTAATTATACCAGAGAATTGAGGTTTTATTCAATTTTGTTAAATCATATTTAACTGTTTTACAATGGAAAAACATAAAAAAATACAAGGTTTAACAAAGGGCAATTTTTTTTGTGATGTGAGAAATGAATGTGGGAACATTCAATCATTCTGCGTATTCAATATAAAATTTTTCATGCCAGAACATGAAGTTATTAAAAAATTGCTTCAAATTATGTAGTATATGTCTAGGTATACTATAGTATATTTGTATATATATAGTATATAGTATATTTGTGTATAGGTAAAAGTACATTCAAAACATACCGCATAACGCATTGTCATATGCATATAATACTGAATGAGCCAAACTGGTTAATGTTGGAAATAGCCTCGAAAGAATTTTCTATAACAGTGCAATTTTTAAGTACATATCCGTAAGGATTAAAGTTCTCAGTATTTGTCAAACGGATCGCAACACAAAGGGTCGCAACGATAAAAGAGAACCTACCTGTACTGATACAATAATTTAAAAGTTTGCGACAATCCTCTCTTATCTAATATCTGCAGCCTCTTTACCTTACCAACTTTGATACGGATGGACTCGTACGCGTCTATTATTAGGTGATTATTTTTCGAAATATGTCAACCAAGAAATAAGCCATTGGCGTATCGCCCATAATATGATTTACTTCCTTTTAAATTCATTACAAATTCAATACAATAGAACCTCGAATCTTCTACTACCCGAAGAATTCGATTATGTCATTTTGTTTTGAGCAAATATGAATTGAAAGCATCCACCAGTAGCAGCATTTCGTCGTCTCGGATTTCATAAAAACGAGCTCATCCGACGACGATCGGACCAACAAAAATCCTCCATATATTTAGGCCATCACAATAGATGCATCGTTGACATTACAATGACATAAATATAGACGTTGTTTGTCTTGATATCGAGGTGTATTATGAGAGGATTGTTTGGAGATTTGCCTGCGCGGTCAGGTGGGGTATAAACATCTCACGTTACAGCTACGCCGCATTCAGCTTAACACAAAAGCTCTATCGGGGACGATTTGTTGCGGTGGATCTCAAGAAAGGAAATACCCCCCTTATTATTAGTCAGAACTATATAATTGGGCAGTTTTGCAGTGGCGTAGAAATTAAAACTACTCCATTTGATTGTAAATTCGCTTCAGTAGATAGTACATATAGATATTGATGTAGATGACAATTTTTTATCGAAATTTACTACTTTAATTTATTAATCATTAATCAGAATTAAAGCCATTAGAATGTACGTATAACAGTAAAATAACGTCGCGCCCTTCTGTCACCCATTATAACGAGCGACAGTCCTCACAAAAGCCTAACCGTGTACAATACGTAAAGCAATC